GTCAGAGGATTGTATGTTACTGTCAGAGGAGTGTATGTTACAGTCAGAGGAGTGTATGTTAAAGACAGAGGAGTGTATGTTACAGTCAGAGGAGTGTTTGTTACAGTCAGATGATTGTATGTTACTGTCAGAGGATTGTATGTTACTGTCAGAGGAGTGTACGTTACAGTCAGAGTTTATGCTACATTCAGAGGAGTGTATGTTACAGTCAGATGTGTGTATGTTACAGTTAGAAGACTGTATGTTACAGTCAGAAGAATGTATGTTACTGCCAGAGGAGTGTATGTTACAGTCAGGAGAGTGTATGTTACAGTCAGAGTGTATGTTACTGTCAGAGGATTTTCTGTTACTGTCAGAGGATTGTATGTTACAGGCAGAAGAGTGTATGTTACAGTCGCAGGAGTGTGTATTACTTTCAGAGGAGTGTGTGCTACAGTCAGAAAAATGTGTGTTGCAGCAGTGTGTTTTGGTCACAAGTTTGTGTGTCTTAATGTGTGTCTTGGTCACCTGTTTCTGAGTGTTAGCGTGTTTGTCAGTCACATGTTTGTGTGTGTTAACATGTAGCTTGATCACATGTGTTTGAGTTTTAACGTGTACCTCAGTCATGTGGTTTTGGGTGTTAACATGTGTGTTAGCATTTGCGTCGCTCCCATGTTTGTATGTGTTAACATTTCCGTTAGAGTGTTTCTCAGCCATAAATTTCTGGGTGTGAGTGTGTACTTCGGTCACATGTTTGTATGTGTTAGCATGTGTGTTAGGTTGTGTGTTAGCATGTACTTCGGTCACATGTTTGTGTGTGTTAGCGTGTGTGTTAGCATGTACTTCGGTCACATGTTTGTGTGTGTTAGCATGTGTGTTAACATGCGTGTTAGCGTGTGTGTTAGCAAGTGTGTTAGCCTGTACTTCGGTCACATGTTTTTGAGTGTTTGCGGTGGTCCTGGCTCGGTTCTTCAAGCTAATGGACTGAGTTAAAGATCCTTTCTGGGGGTAGAACCGAGGCAGCGGTAGCTCCGTCAGCTCCACATACTCCCCCTCTGAGTCTTCGTCCCCACTGCTTTCTGCTGATCGCTCAGTTTGGAATGGGAGGAGCTTAGATTCTTGCCTTGAGGAGTTTGGATCATCTCTGTCTTTAACTGAAGAATCTTTGTCCTTCTGTGGGTTGGTTTGTGACTGACTGACGAACTGTGGGTAGACCACATCCTCCCAGGGGACCCTGAAGACGTCACCTTGGGCTAGGAGGACACAGCACTCCAACCTTGTTGCTCCTCTCCGCTTCCTCTCCTTGTTGACACAGTCCAGCCAGGACATGCTGAAAAGTGACCTCAGAGCATCCCTTGACACCACCTGTTGCTCCACATGATGAGAGCCTGATGACACACTGCACAGAAGAAGATGAGGGGTGATGTCCAAGCTGCTCCTGCAGGGAGCACTGTGTCCTTGAGGAGCAGAAGGAGAAACCAGCAGGTAAAAGTCTCCTGGATGAAGAAGGTGCTGGTCCAGAGGACAGAGCTGAACGACTACCTTCTCCTGGAGACACAGAGGCCAACCTTCATGACGAAACAGCAGGCCATAGTAAGGAGACTGACAAAGGGATGACAAAGAAGAAAAATGAGTTGTGATGTAAAAACATGGTAAAAACAGGTAAAATAGTATTTCATCTGTTGACAGAAGAAACCAATCGAGTTCTGCTAAACCCTGCTCCAGAAGAAAGAAAAAGACTATCTGCACTGTAAGTTTGTGTACGTGTGTATACATTAAAAAAAATTGGATGATCTTTGTCCAGGTAGTCCCCCTCATAGATACTCACACAAGCAACCTGCTGGAGGTCCTGCAGGAAGTGCTTTGCAGGCAGCAGGAAGTGTAAAAGATAGCGGAGGCCGTCTCCTCTGTAGCAGCTGTCCACCACACTGAGGACCTGACAGAGGACAGTCGAGGATGTAGCCTGGAAGGGTGGATAGAGGGCTGCCAAAGCTTTCTGGATGCAGCGGTCCAAAGACTCAGAGTCCTGGAAGAAGAAAAGGTGAAGAAAACTGAGCTCAGGTGTGCTGAGGTCCCACAGCTCTGAAACTATCAGCTGGCAGGGAAGTATCCGAACAATTTTGGCCTCAAGCATATTCTGTTTGTGACCTGTTGTGTAAAAGTTATTTGTTTTCTTCAGAGAAGCAGTTAAGGATCATGGGTGTTGTAGTTTGCCAGCAGTCCACCATCCTCAGGATTCTGCAGCTCTATCTCACTGTCAGACAGAAACAAACGTTGCTGTTGTTTGAAGAAGCAGACAGGTTCTGGTATAAACTAATCTCATCTCTCAGGTTCTGCAGGTTTTAATGAAAACAAGCAGCCGTCCATCCCTGGAGGGCCATGATTCATCCTCTCAACTGATGGAAGAACCAGTTCCTGCAGGGCGTGGAGGCCAGCAGAGTACCAACTTAAAGACAAGTCCCCGCCCTTGTCTCTGGATGCTGATTGGCTGAGATCAGATGACACGTCTTTAACTCTGGTCTCCACGGTAACTATTCATGTGTTTAAAGGGTCAAAGATCCCAAAGAGCAGCAGTCATGACCTCTGTGGTAACTAATCATGGTACAACAGGAGACATGACCTCTGACCCCTACATGTGAGCGGTGATTGAAGAGGCCAGCTGTTAGATTCCCACTGGTATGAGAGCAGACAGCAAACAGTAATCTGATTACTTAAACCCCTCTTCAGATGAAAAGTCACCCTCTGTGGAAAGGATGCAACAGTTTCAGTCTTTTCAGTGCATCATTCATCTCGCTGCAGGAATGAAGACAACATGTTCCACACATGGCTGATCACAACCAGCTGAGAACAAATCCTCACCAAACAAACCACTGACCTGTTCCAGCCCACTCCAAGTCCTTCTACTACACAGCACTACACAACACCTGGTCCTAGATCACCTGAAACCATTGCCAACGCTCTGCTGGATCTTCAACACTTCCAGAGCAACTAAGCCTGCTACTGATGGAGAGCTACATGTAGACAACCAAAGGACCTCCACCAGAGTGCTGTCAGTGGACGTTTGCTTTGAACACCATGCTACAGAGATGCACTGAGCTGATGCACGTTTCATATTCAGCCTCACCAGCAGCTTAACACTCAAAGGTCCAGTGTTTTCCTAGTCAGTGAATGCACCACAGAAATCAGCTCCACTAGCTAAAAAAAATTCTACTGGTTGGAACAAACACGATTTAGCTGTATGGACTGTCTGCAGGGTGGAGAGCTGTCAGAAAGAACCAGTGGTGGATTATAATCTACTGCTCAGCAGAGTGGATTACAGCTCTGATTTTTCCTTTGAGTTTTCAACCTTAGTCTGTGAAACACGGTGGTCTGTGATGATGGGGAATCAGCTTCCCCACCACCACAGACATCTACACCTCCAGATACAGGAAGAGGGCCACCTGCATCATGAAGGACCCCACTCACCCAGCACACACACTTTTTGCCCTGCTCCCCTCAGACAGGAGGTTGAATCAGGTGAGTTTATCTGCCAGGTGAGTGGGGAACATTTCTTCTGAGCAAGGCATAAAGACTTAGCAATGCTAACAAAGCTAATGACACTAATGAACGTTCATGTCCCCAGGATCATGGTGCAATATAGAACATAATGTGCAAAACAAAACAAGACACAGTGTAGATACACAACATTACAATAAATACAAACAGACCTATAATAAACGCAAAAAGACAACACAGTGATTAAGTAGTTGTAGAACTTTTTTTTTTTACTGTTAACCTGCTGCTACTATGTTTAATCATTGATCACTAACAGCAGAGAGGAGGGCAATGACAATAAAAATGAAGGATTTATTAATCTGACATGTAATAAGTTGTTTTTTCAATTACTTTGGACAAAGCAGATAATTGCTTTAATAGAGATTCTGTAGGAAAAATCTCTGAAATGTGGTGCAGCTGTGTGTGCGCAAAAAATGAAAATACTAACGCTATAATCTTCCTTATAAATAGATTTCTTGTAAAATTTTTTCTATTGAGTTTTATTAGAACAGAACTCTTTAAAAGCTGGAGGAGATTTGTAGATTCTCAGTGACAATGTTCAGTAACCTGGGGCCTCATGTACAAAGATTAGTGTGGATTTCCTACTGAAACAAGGCGTACACTCAAATCATGAAAACAGCATACGCACAAATAAATCCAGATGTATGAAACTGTGCACACACACCCTTTGCGCATCAGGCCCCTGGTGATGATTATTTTTCTTCTTCAAAACAGTGAATCCCTTTGTATTCTAAGCAATCATTTGAGGCCGACATATTTAAATCTTTTTTTGCCCAATCAATGAAAAGTATTTCTGAAAAAAGCAACAGCTTTCCGCTTAGTGTAGTAAATCCCTCGCGGTGCTAACCTCATGCTTTCACAATGACCTGCTGCGAAACAAACTGCTTCATTCCTTCAGGTTTTGCACAAAAACACAACATGTTTTGGAGCACAACTGAAATTTTAAAGGCAGATGTATTTTGTGAATTGCTGCACACTTTGTTCTTATATTGCATATTTAACATAACTGAACCAGAACAGACACTGAATAAGGCTGTTCTTCTCTGGGCTGTGGTCTCCATGATACAGATGCTGATACTCTGCCAACAATCTGGTTCATTAAAGATATGTGAGCAGAGCAATAAGACACAAAGTTCAACCTTTAAATGTAATGGGATATGAACTTTAATCCTGGTACATTTGAGCCTTTGATTACAGTTCGATCACACATTTAATTATGTTACGATTCAGCCTTTACTCACAATTTGATAATACATTTAAAAGGTGTATGATTAAGCCTCTAATCATGTTACAATCATGCCTTACTAATAATAACTGATAATTACTTTAACATTCAGTCCTTAAGCACAGTTACTGCTTCCTAGTTTCTATTTGGAGCAGAGATCATTCTGTAAAATCTTTCCTTTTTAGCCTCACCTCAGTTCAGCTAATGACAGTTAATTTGCCTGTT